ACCATGGAGGGCCTCCCCAGTTGATTGCGTTTTTGGTCCTTGATTTTGGGGCCGCCAATGGACAAGATTTTCGCTTGCGTCGCGACCCGGTTGTTCTGGCATGGTGACAACAACGCCCAGTGTTTTGGTTGGTCGGTTGCTTGTCGTTTGTGGGTTTGGGTGAACGTGAAAAGGTTGGCTTTTTTTGAGTCTGTTGGATGTTGTTTGGTTCTTGGTTGTAGGTTTGGGCAGAGGACCTCGGTTGGAGAACCAGTTTTGTTTTCCTGGGGAATATGCGCGTGTGTGGCCATTGGGCCGGAGATTGGTGTTCGCCGTGTATTGGCGCAGGTTTTGACACGTTAACTTTCCAATCGAGAATTGCCCACTTCTTTGTGGCACTTGCCCCAAAAAATTGCCCACACCCTCGCTTCCACCACAAGCAGGTCGGACTGGAGACCACTAGTATCCAAAAGCAAGTCGGCATAGTGGTCCTGCAAACTTGTTTTATTCTATAAATATTTCTATTCTCCCACAGCGTGATTGCAGGACCCGTGCTCTCTCCCTGCAGTTTCCACTCCAGCTGGTCCTGCGCGGCCCTGCGTCAGCACCGCCCGGCTTCCAGAGACCAGCTGACTGATCAGGAACAATGTGAAGCGGCCAAGCGGATCACGACGCGCGCGAAAATCTTGTCCATTGACGGCCCCAAAACCAAGCGCCAAACGCAGTGGATTCCAGGGTCGCCAAAGTGAGCCTCCCCAGTTCAAGAACATGTGCGGGCATAAACGTTCGCAGGGCGTGGAGAACAATTGCTCGCGGCGCTGCAAAACCATGGAAACCCAGTGGCCCAGCGGTATGCAAAACTTCTGTCGCGTACCTGCGGATTTTTCGCCGGGCGGCAAAAATTTTGCCGACAAACGGACCCCGTTTTGGGGTCCAGAAACAGACCCCAAAACGGGGGCCAAGTCGTCCGGACACAAGCAAACCAAATTGAGACTGAATGAGTGGCCTCCATTTTAGGGTCCAGAAACGGACCCCAAAACGGGGGCCGTTTCGGCAAAATTTTGGTCACCGGGCGAAAAATAGCAAGAGTTTCGATTGTTGCTGCAGGTACGCGACAGAAGTTTTCCATGCCGCTGCTTTTCCATGGTTTTGCAGGGCCGCAGGCGCTTGTTCTCCACACCCTGCGAACATTTATGGCCACACATGTTCTTGAACTATGTCTTGGCGTTTGCGGTTATTGTCTAGTGCTGATTAGGTTTGGCATTTCAGATTCAGGGAAATTCAACCCGGGCCTGCGCACGTGCCTATCTCTGATAACGGTGCGATTTATAGCGTGGTGCCCTCGACTTCGCTTTTCACAGAAGCGCGCAGCACGGTTTGCGTTAAAGAGGCTCGGTCTCAATGCATTCCTTATGAGAAGCAGCCTGATAGCTGACCTTCATCTCGCACTAGGTGATTTCCTGTCAGCACGTGCGTTGCGCTCGTTTCCAACAAACATCGGAATTGGGACTCCGATTCGCAGGAATATGCACGTGCTCAAACTTCAGCTTGCCAGCCAAATGGCGCCGGTCAGGTTGTCACCGGTTCGAGGTCTACAACCTTCTCTCCTGTAAGCCTCACAATGGTAGGTAGACAAGGGCCTACCGGTATACGGTTTGATGTGGCCATTTTGTTGCACTAGACAATCATTGCAAGCACCGCTAACTAGAATAGCCAATCATTGCTTGAGTCAACCGGTTTAGGCGAAGTCTTGCTTGTTATTTCGTCTTCGCATTGACAAACAGCCAGGGACAATTTTGAATTTCGTTTCCCACCTTTGTTTCGGCTCGGTCTGTGCAACTTAAGCATACTAATTTGTCACTCCGCCAACACTTCAATACATAGCCCACCGAGTTTTTTTCGACTGTGGACAGCTCTCTCGATTTACGCAGATAAGCAAACCTACCACTTGGCGAGGGCCCTATGGAGAGAATAACACTTTTGCATTGTGCGCCATTTTCAAGCGCCCTAAGTGGATTAACCTACTCCCTCTGGACGGAGAAGACTCTGATGCCTTTGATGACGAACAGAAACCTCTCACTGAGGACCAGCAAAGCATCCACCACGACAGCTTTCGAACTGTACAAACATGTACATTAACTAGCCAGTTCCCAGGCGGGTACCTCAGTGCCTGTCCCGGATGAGTCATAGAGTGCAGTGTTTTTGGTGTAGTTCGGCGTAGTTTCATTCTGTTTCACTGTAGAACCGGGGCCGTGCTTGCTTCACCAAGGAACCACTTGTGACCTCTCTCCTGGCAAAGCTGTTTGAGATTCACCGCCACAAGGTTGCTAAGTTGCTTTGCCTCCCTTCCCTTGGGGGGGGGAGCCGCATCCTGCATGCTCACATTGCGAGGATCGAGTGGTGCTTGGCTGCTGAATGGGTCGCAGCACAATTGAACATTCGTCGAGTAAGCTATCACCAGAAGCAGGCAGCACTGTTGGAAGTTATGAGCCTTCTTGTTTGGCGCAATTGGACTCCTTCCGCAGTGGTTTCCCGATGCATTCTTGCCTACCATCCACACTCGCAAGTGGTGACCCAGCGAGATGGTTGTCAAAACCTCTCCAACTCAACAATGAGGAATCATAGATATGAAGCCTGGATATCCAGGCCCAGTGCAACGCGATGCACGCGGTGCGCAAAGGCATTGCAGCACCGCACAAGACTGGTGCTCGCTTCTGAACTGTCGAGATATGCACAACGTGTACAACTTGTACTGAGAGACCTTTTTGCTTAATTTGACGCCCCTTGTTTCACCTCTTTCGTTTTGTTTCACCTCTGCATGACCCACTTGAGTCGCGTCTTGGCCAGGTTGGTTGTTGGTTTGTTTGGTTGTTTGTTTGTGTTTTGTTTTTGTCGGGGTTGGTTTTCTTCCCCTGGCCGATGACTCACCTTCAAGTAGCACAAGATGACCTGTGCATTCTCTGCACACATGGCGTCTCCACCCGTGAAAAAAAAACATGCACGCTCACAAATCTTGAGTGGAAAAACTCCACCACTGCCATGCTTAACACACTCTGTGTCAAATAAGGCACAGCAGCTGATCATATTCAACTTGATTCACGCGGTATGGCCAAGGGCAACGGCTGCGAGCTCCTCAAGTCAATTCGACGTGGAGTTCTCACTTCGCAGAAGACAGCAGGCCCTTTCTGCAGAGAGCTCGTCCTTGAAGTGCACTGGCAGAGCAGGCACGATCAGTTTCTAAGGCAGAGCTGAGGGTCGAGAAGTGATGTGCAGCTGGTGATGAGCACGTTTCTTCTTTTCCTGTTTTGTCTTGATGAACATGAGTCCAATGCGCTTAAGAAGGGGAAAAAGATGATCAGAAGGATTTTGTCTCTTTCCTCGGAGTTTTACGCCTGGGAGGTAGAGTCGAACTTGTTTTGTGTGAGTTGTGAAGATCAGGCTTTGGTTTCTGACTTCTTTTCCGAAGGTCTGGAGGTCACACCTGGCCCACAAGAACCTTGTCCAGAACATCTTGTCAGGAGCAAAACTGTGTGCCTGCTGAGTTTGTCCCTACATAAGATCAGACACCACCACTTGCTGCTGACTGCATTCAGCCCATCTCCAGCTTCACCTTAAAGACATCCATAAGGCTGACTAACTGGATTCAAAGAACGAACTGTTGTGGCTGTTGGTCCATACTGAGCATATGGTGGTCCAGTGCTCAAAAACAAGTGCATTCGCCAAAGAAGGAACCAAAAGAGCTGGCACCACACTTGTATGATTATACAAGGCCGTGGAGCCTCGGCGTGGCCCGATGGAGACCGCGGAGGCCATCGTTTGTTTATGAGGCCTGGAGGGTCAGTCTGGCTCTGACAGATGCATGCTGAGGCCGCAGAAGCTCAGCCTCGTGGCCATGACAAGGTGTCTTTGATGTGTAGGTGGCTGTAGAGGTCAAGAGTTTCAGCGCTAAACTTGTCCGGATTGCAACAGTTTGTATGAGTAAGATGGTCAGTTGCCGTGGAATTCAATCGGAGGCGCCTTTTGCAGCACATCGTCCAACAGATCTTTTTTCCACAGAAGCTAAAAGTGGCGTCGCGAAAATGAAGCAAAGCCCTGGCTCAAGCAAGGCCCCAGCAAAAGTTGCTGAAGCAAGTCTTCCAACCAACTCACCAAAACAAAAACCCAGCAACAAGTGTGGTCTTAACTGCAGAACGCCTGCAAGCAGATGTACTTGCTGCAGCCCCAAATGCATTGATGCAGATTTGCAAGGTGAAAAATTTCCAGAAAGAAGAACGCTTTGCAGCTCTCCACTGTTGGTGTTTTGTTTTTTGTTTTTGCCTGCCGGCATGTTCCGCCGCAACCCGTTTAAACACCTGAAGTGCAGACACACCGCTGCAACTATCTGCGATGGTCGACCATGGTCACTCAAAAACACAACGATTGACACTTGCAAGTCAGTGTGCTCTGAACATTCTCGAAGACAAGGGTTTCAAAGTCAATGTTTCAAGCCGAAGCATTGTTAGACCGCAACTTTTTCATGTTCGCAGTCACAAAATTTGGTGAAAATCAAAACACAATGATTCCTTGATGCCGCCCTCGTCCCAATTCCACCAAATGAAAATGTGAAGGTCGTGTTGTTCTTTGAGAGACAGTTTATTTTGTGGCAGCGGTCAGTGCACGTCAAAAGGGCCGATGGTAGACCTTGGTCGGTAGGCAAGAACTTGGCGTAGAGATGCTTAGAAACTCCACTTTGATGTTGTTTTTTTGGACTTTATAACTTAACATTCGTTTTGAGCAGTGAACCATGCAGCAAGCCTTGTATGTCCGTGGGTGATGATGTTTGAAGATGCTAGTTCGGTTTTTGACCCCAAAGAATTGCGATATGAAGAGTGGATCAAGTCAAACAAACCATTTCTTGGTTTCTGGCTATAGTTTCAATCAACCGTCTGATGTTTCAGTTCTTCTTGTTTGGAAGCTTCGGGCTTTGCCCAACCAATCACCCAGCATTTCTGTACAGATGGCTCCGCCGATATCTGTTTCTCTCCAGTGGGTCCCGGTCGAACCTGCGCCGTCTCGCACTGGCGGGCGGAGCTTCGAGCCGGAGCCGTCTCGCACTCGCCTCTTGGCCCCGACCGGTGGACTTCGGGCCGGCCGTGGGGTGTGGAGTGGACTGGGGTCGTCAAACCCGGTTCTTTCGCACCGTTGTGCCGTTGTGCCGGTGTCACCCACCGATCATGGTGGATGGTCTCTCAGTACTTTTGTTTTAAGTTTTGATGACGAATATCTCCGTGTCCAGCCAAGATGCATATGGAAAGAATGCGATGCCCAAACTGTTTGAGACAAGGTGGCCGGGATAGATCTTTCCCGATTTGTTTCTCCGATTTAACCACCTGTCACATACATAGAGATTCTCGATCAGTGCATGTGCTCATCACCAACATGTTTTTTCGCTACCCGAACAAAGTTTGTCCCTCCGTTTCCCCCATCACTTGATGGATGGCCTTAGCTGTTGGGGACATAACGGTTTCAGTCCACTCGATGGAAGCATCCTTGCTGCCAATAGGGCACGTTTGGGGCACAAACTGGACCCTAGTATTTCTCCGATGCACACCTCACAGTCACGGCATTCGCACCGGTGCCCAGGATGGTTCTCCTACAGGAGAGTGATTTCCTGACGAGGCGGACCTTGGAGAGGGGGATTGGTTCGCCGTCATGGGCCGAGTTGGGCCAAGGAAGTGAGTCGCCTTTCTTCTTCGATCAGTCGAAAAGAGCACAATGATATTTATTTTTAGTTTTTTTCTTCGGATGAGACACAAGCCGGGAAACAGACCCAACTGCGAGCCGGCTTGTTCCGTGCGTTGGGACACAGCAACGAACCGTGCGTTGGGAGGAGGGTCCGGTTCCGTTCCGTTTGGCCCCCCGTCCGTTGGACGTCCCAAAGTTCACGGGAACCGGGTTCGACGCGGAACCCGCCTTCGCGATGTCGACAACGGAGACGGCGGATGGGTGGTCTGCAGAAGCGACCCAGGCTCACGGAGCTTTATGATCTGAATCGATCAGGCGCGGGATCCTTGGGAGACTCCAGAATGCGGATGGTGGCGAATGCCAATCTGGATGCTGATGAGTACAGGCAGTACGGGTACAGATGACTTAGAGATTTTGGTGCCCCCCTTGTAACAAGGGCCTATTTTCAGCATGTTTAAGGCCCAGACCCTTCAGAATTAACCTGGGCCCCGGGTGGGGCAGGGTTCTCTTTTTCGGGGTGGGTCGTGGGACATGGGATGCGGATCCCGTTCGACTCCGAGACCAGTTCGCAAGTCAGTCATAAAAGCTGGATTTGGGGCTTCCAGTGAACGACGCTGGCAGGACTACTTGGACCCATCCCCGGTGGAGCCCATGGTGGGATTGGAGCCGTTCTGCCGTTCGGGGATGGCTCCGCTTGAATGGGGGGCAATGGATTGCCGTACTTCGAGGTCCTGTATGCTCCAGGTTCGCCCAACTGCGGACCGTTCCCATCAACCAACCAACCTGTCCTTTCGCGACCCAACGACCGGCCCGGCCCGGCCCGGACCGATCGGCCCGGACCGCGCCGCGGGAGGCACCGTGTTCTTGACTCTGAAGCGCTTCGCCGGAAGGTGGGGTCCGGACCGGCGCCGAGCGAGCGGAGCACCGCGTGCCAGCGCAGCGAGCGCAGCGGGCCGCCGCGAAGCCTGGCTCGCTCCGGTGCTAGACCGGCAGGAGGTCTCCTGTGAAATGGAACGTTTGGGCCAGAAAGTGAGTTGGGAGGTTGGAATGGAGGTCCACTGAAGTCCTTGCCTACTTGGGACATTTGTTAAGAAGGTCAGGTGCCAATGGTTGGTGTGTTGGCTTGTGTGTTTTAAGGGTTGAAAAGCAGAGCCCAAGATCCGTTGTTTACTGGCCTGTCACTTCTTCCTGTTAAAGACCGTGCCCGCCCTTCCTTCTCGCGCGAGAAGGGCCTTCGCTACGAGGCTCGCCTCGTTGCGGCGGCGGAAGCCGAAACTGCAAGAAGAAGCGGCCAACAAGGAGGAACCCAGGCGCACGATCCATCGGCGAGAGGCATCGGTTTCGCCAATTTGAGTGGCAAGTGGGTGTCTTCCCCGCTTAGAGCTGTTACTGGTGGTAATGGAAAAGCCTCTTTTGGTTGAATCACCATGGACTAGATGATGCTTCCCCAAATACAGGTATGACTTGGTAGAGGAAAAGAGTCATTTTGATTCATTTTGTAGTTCGTAAGGTTATTGAGTATTGCTAAACTTTCAGCACTTCTACAAAGGCTCTTTGCGTGATAGAATCAATTGGTACCCCATGCAGTGTTCGAGCATCATTTGAGAAATTGGAACCAGCAGAACAAAGCACAGGTTGTTCCGGATTAGTGGCTAGCGAGCATTTCCACGCATATTGGTGACACTAGCGCTGAAGAATCGGTACGGGTACACCATTCTTCTGAATTGGTGGTCATTCTCTTGTGACTGGTGGTGGAATGAGCAAAGCGTTCTCTCCTTTTCATTCCCGCTTTTCAAGTTTACTCTCTTCTGTCCATGTCTTACACCTGACGTTTCAGGGCTTTCATTCTCACTCCCATAGTATCTCATAGTCATAGTCCATTTTTTGCCCTGGTTCATCCCAGATGTATTTATGGGATTCGCCGTGTTCGAACAGATCAAGGACACAATGAATTCAATTCCTATGCTTGCAGAGCACGGCCTTTTGTGCACCAGGTGCCTTGTGCGGGCATGCTCCAACCGACCCCGCTCGAAGATGAGTTTGGGCCTCCCAGCTTGGCACCGCGTTTTCGAAGGTGCCCGAGGAGTTGGCCGGGAGTGGACGAAGCGGATGCAATCCGAAGCTATTCATCGCTTCATCCAGCTGAAAGTGCAGGTTGACACAGTGAACACATGTTAACACTGTGTCACTGTTTGGTCAATTAAAGGAGCGGATCAGAATCGGAAGTGCAAAAGTAAGACCAAGAACACCAAAAAGGCACTTTTGTCATCAGCTTCCCCTACATTCATGACCCCATGTTTGGGTAAATCAGTTGTCTTTGTGCCAGGCTCCCTCCTTCCAAAGATTAGACCCTCTGCAGATGTGTTCCGAAATTCTAGCCTTCATTCGTGGCTGAGCTCGCGTATGGACACCATGATCGGAGTGAAGTGTACGGTCCTGGAGGTAGGAAAACCTCCACAGGATCTAGCGGCTACTGATACTTGGTCTTCTTTTTTGGAGTGCGGCTACCGCCCCGGGAGGTTCTCCGCCAGGGTGTCCCGCTAGCCCTACATCAAACCAAGCAATTTCGCAATTAGGTTTCAGGGAATATTTACAGGACACCCAACGGCTTTATGGGTTTCCGGCAGATTGGCCCCTCCATTCGAAGCCAAGCCGGCCCGATCGCTGAGGCTGTGTCATTGAGGCCAAAGACCTCGTGAGGCGGGCTGAGCAGTCGGACGCGGTTGAGCCAAGACACGGTGCTTTGTAAAGGGTCGCAGTGGGCAACTGCGTCCTCCCAGTAGCGATGCCAGGAGCCCCTAGTAGCGTCCTTGCTCCTAGGTAGTTTTCTGCGATGCCCCCTCTTTGAAGCGAGCCGGGCTTTTGGATCCATATATCAATTGGCCCATCCCTTTCGACCAAGACTGGCAAGGTCTTGCAGACGATTTTCGCAAAAAGCATTGAGAAGGCCCATGTCGCAGAAGGTGCTGGCAATGTGGATTGATTCCACACGACCCTCCAGGAGCTTTAGAGCTAAGGAGCCAAGGCCTTGACCGGCGCCAAGGCCAAAAATGGCCGTCACACTCTCCTGGATCGATTGAGAAGCTGTCCTTTTCTCTGTGGGACATGCGGGACTGCCGGACGCGCTCGCGGTGAGCCGCAGTGACCACGCGCCGCTCTCGTCGCCTCGTCGGTCTTCCGTCCCCCACAGTGGATAGTGCCGGAACTTCGACCAACTGCGGACGCTCACCCAAGCCCGAACTCGCGCCTTATCCGGGCTTGGACTCATGGCTCAGATACCTCAGTTCTTAAAGCTTGGCTTGGTACCTTTCTTTCCGTCCCTTTTGCATGTGTTGCTTTTTGTTTTCTTGCTTTTGAACTTCTCGGATTCTGTTCTCTCTGCAACTTCCTTTCAGCAGACTTCTTCGCCACATGCCATCTCTGGTGCTGTGGGCCTCCGCTGGTTGTTTTGGGCTCACTATTCACTTCCATGGGCTGAACGAAGCAAGACAACCGCGCAGAACCTGGGCTTCAGCTCGTCTGAAGCAGCTCGTCCTCCCGGTCCGCAGCCCACATCCTTCCGTGTTGGGATACCCACCTTTCGAAGAAACATGTCGCAGCGGCGAGGTTCCAGATTGCGCTGGGAAACATCATGCGTCAACAGATGGCGGGGGTGCCCAGAGGGTGCCAGCCTCTGGGTGGGAAGAAACGAAGCTCTCCAGGTGGCAAGTGGCGTTGATTTGGTTTCCCGAGAAGGCAAAGAGACCCAAGAAAGCACTTGCTTTAAGATTTGGGCAGCCGGATTGACCAGGCCTTGTCGGTGAGGTGTTAATATGAATACCAACTTCAGCAGGGAACCTCACTGTTGAGCTGCGCCCCATGTGGGGCCGCTGGGTTCACTTGCAGATTTGGGCTGCGGTGCCAAATTTGAGATTTTTTACCATTGCTCGTACGGAATACTTTAGGCCAGGTTGCCAAGCATGGTCATTGGCCTAGTCTGCTATGTTAGCCGCAAGCCACAAGCGGTGGTCCGGTCAGGATGGCCTAAAGACTCGCGAAAGATCGAAGGAAGAGCGGCAAAAGGAGCGAGAAGAGAAGAGAAAAGCCAAGGCATGGGCCAGGGCTGCAGAAGCTGGGTGGCTGGGAAAGCTGGGGTGGCAAGCTGGGGGGTATTTCAAGAACGATTAACTGATTAGCACTTCTGTCCGAATCTCACTATGGATAGATTTCACTGTCTAGCCCCCAGGCAGCGAGCGGAGTGAAGAAAGATAGTGAGGAGAAGAAGGCGAGCTGGGATGACTTCTGGAAGTTTTGGGTGACCCACTCCAGGACGTGAACCTATCACAGTTTTTGGGTTCTTCAGGACGTCAAGGCGAAGTCCAAGAGCAAAAAAGGAAAGAAGAAGTGACAAGCCGGACATCCCTTTCAGCGAAAGACACGGCACTCTTACAGTCGCCGAGTGCGCTCGCAAAAAAACGCGTGCTTTTTCGCGCGAGCGCGGTGCGCTTGGGCGGTTCCTCACGGCATGTTTCCCTTTACTTATGTCAACCCTCGGGAATTGAGCAACCCCAATGACTAATTTAGGAATTGAGCGAAAATCTGCAAAAGCGGCCCCCTCAAAAGCGACCAATCCTTGGCTGAATCATGTCCTTTGCTTGACAGTATGTTTTGGCAGATGCATATTTGGGTCATGGTTTCAGCTGGCTACTGCGTTTGCCGGATGAACAGAACCCCATCAACCCCAACCTGGTTTGGGCCTTCGTGCAGGCCTAGTCTAAATCATTTGCTGATTTGGCGAGGCACCTGGCGCGCTCGGCCCTTCCTTCCGGGGAAAAACACCACCACCCTGCTCCTGGACTCCCTTGTTTGATGGGGGAAGGTGTCCGCGGATCGCGATCTGCCCTGCCGGTGGCGCCCTTGGGTACGCCGCGCCACCGCGCCGCCGCGCCGCTGGGTTTGGCTCGGCAGCTTTCCGTGTCTCAGCGCCCTGGACCGCGGACCGCCCCCGCGGAGCGACGAGCGGTTCGGAGTCCGAAAGGGGACGGGGCCTGTTGGGGGAACCAAACGGGAGAAGCTTCAGGCAGTGGTCAGTGGGCCAGTGTGGCTTTTTGGATGGTCAACAGGTGGTAGAGGAGTCGAGACAGCCAATTGAAAGCTTCTAGAGAGAGAGACATTCTTTCATTTCAGCAGATCCTCATCAAGGTGGACCCGCCAAGGTGGGTGGTTTCGGCCAAGAGTCGGCAATTCCAGATCTGTTTCTGTCCGTTTCCTTCTCTCCTGGTTCTCTCGTTGCCAGACATGGGCGCCATGAAAGTGCCGAAGACGGCGACGGAACGTTTGCTCCTTTGGACGGAGGGCAAGGCGCCGTGGAACGGGGCGCTGCACGGGGCGGAGCCCGGGTCGGCGGCGGTGTCAGGGGTCGGTTGGGGTGAAGCTCGCGTGGCCCAGCAAGCGCTTGCCAGGCGCCGGGACAAGCGGCTCGGGAACTCAAGGACCGGGGGGCGTTCTGAGGAGCCAGTGTCGCCGACGAGCTTCACCACAGGGCTTCTGGCCTGGAAGGCTTCCTTTTTTGGGACCCTCGACTTGTCTTTGGAGTAAATGGCATCCTTTTTTGGTGGGGCGATTTCTTTTTACTATCCCCTACAGGTCAAAGACCTCATTTGACTGGATCCGGTCATGCAAAGCCAGTACTCAATGAAGTCAAGGACCAGGTTAAACTTGGCCTTTGGACTTGTAGGGATCTGTCTTTCCACCACAATCTTTGGGTCGCGCGCTGTCATGCCAGTTGGTCGGCTTTCCTCGAACGGCCCCGTGGCTCAAGTGATAGGTCATCAAACTTCACAGGGTTAAAGAACCAACATCGACGGAACGTGGACACCTTTGATGATTCTTGGAGTCAGCTCACTTCCCCCGCATTTCCTCATGCTCCCCCGACTCCCCCCACCGAAGCCACCCGACCGAAGCACCGGTCGGTCACACCACCGGCGCCATCGACCGGCGAGGAGCTGCCATCGCACTTCTCGCTCGAGGGACCTCACCTCTTCTGGCGTGCAGGATCGCCGGAGGCGGCCGCGCGTTCGACGTGCCGAAACGGCGGTGGAAACACGGAGAGGTGGAGAAGTGCATCGCCAGAGAACGAGCTGGCTGGAAGATGGTGTTGATGGAATCAAGAATCATGGAAGAACAATAACAAGAATAATCTAAGCCAATCTAAGCCATCAATCATCATGGAAGATATTCAGTGCTGGGAAAGAGGCCCATGGATGCAATCTTTCCAAGTTTGCCCGCAATGGGCCACAAGAAACACCACAGTTTTCAGGCTTTTGCCTCTGTAGACGGAGAAGACGCTTGAAAGAACCATGTAGCAATGATTCCAAAACCTAAAGCCCCAACCCCCCCAGGTAGGTGGACCATGTCTGGGGGGACGTCTATTCTGTTCCAGGTTCACACCCAGGGTTTTTTCACCCAGGTCTCCTGGTGCCATTTTTCGCGTTCGTTTGGCAGCTTGGCCGTCGCTGGATCCGCCCGGTGGATCCTCCCAACGCTCGGAGACGAGCACGAAGTGATGGGACTGCGTACTGTGCCCCAGCGACCGAAAAAAAGAGCATGAGAGGGCGTTCGGCTTGGGTGTGTGGCTTTGGGGTTTCTTTTGTGACAATGAAGGGACTTGGACCGACTGGTCCACATCCTCTTCGAAGCCGAAGCCGGGGGCGCTATAGCAACCCACGCGGTCACTGAACACCTGACAGTCGCCCCGAAGCCCGGCCCCAGCCCCGGCCCGGGCCGTTCCGCGCCAGGTGAAGATGGCCTTTCTCGGCACCGGCCGCTGGGCCGTCGGTTTTACTGCGTAGTCACGGCGGATGAGTGGCCCTGGAATAGGACGAGAGCGGAAGGACCTGGAAGACATGAGGACTTGATAGGACTTGTGTCTTTTTTCGGTCTGTCCGGAAGATGGTGGAATTGGGTCCCTGAGAGAGTTGGGGGTTTCTGCGGCTCTTTCGTTCAACTTGAAAAGAAAAAACTCCTGACACCAGTGTTCGAAGCGAGGTGGAAACTTCTTGCTCATCGGCTCCAAGTGGAACGCACCTGGGCTGAACATCGGCCGCGCTGGGGGGAACGCGTGCGGGGGGCGAAAGCGCAGGGGGCGGAAGTAGCTGAGGGACCAGAGTTCCTTTTCGATCACTTTCTGGGACAAGGAGAAACTGAATTCAGAGGGAGATAGGAGAACTCAGGAGAACTCAGGCGCTCCCTAGTAGGCCCTAGTACCTAGAGAGGTTCAGCTATATCTCTATATATATATATCTACCAGGACCTTCCCAGTGACCTTTTCAGGATTGGTAAGTGACCGTTTACAGACTTAAGTGACCTCATTCTGAGATCTCAAAGGGTCACTGGGAAGGTCCTGGTATATATAGCCTATTCGCATATGTACCACAAGTCAAGGGTCCCAGTTCAGGTCCCTCAGTCCGTCTTCGTACAGCAGACTCGCGGACTCGCGGACTCGCGGATGGAGTCAGGAGTGGAGTGAGGCTCTTTTCGCGGTACTTCCGGTACTTGGAAGTGGATGGACAGAAGTCCAGGACTGGTGGCTGAAATGGCTGCTACTAGGAGAGCAAGGACGCTACTATTGGCTCCTGGCCTTGCTACTAGGAGCGATCGGACGCTACGAACGGGGACCTCGACACCTCCCACCCACTGGCGCATCCGGTTCTGTTCCACAAGTGTCCGCATGTCTATTTACATGTTTGTTGGTTTTGCCGGATTGTGTGGAAGCTTAAGGGTTCAATTCCAGCTGCAACTATGTGATGGCCCAACCAAAAGCACAAAAACAAGCAAACACAAACCAGTGATTCAGACCAGGTCCATCCATTGGCTGCATTCCCCTGCTTGATCGGCTTGACCTAGCAATTGCAGCAATCCCCCTACTTTAACAGTAGCTCTTTCCTTCTTGGCTTGTTCGTCGGCTAGTTGCAAGCTTGTCCCTTGTTCAGCTCTTTCACTGCTCATACAATTGCCTTACAATATCACATGTTTATTTATATAACTCTTTCTCTCCCCTCAACGCTCTTCCTGGCAAGCTCTTCCCAGTCTCAATAGGCTTATTTGTTCATTGATCTATTTTATTGATCCAATAGGCATATTTATTGCTAAGACTTTTTCTACACTTTCAACTGTGTTTTGAACTTCAGCACCAAGAAAAAGCTGCTCAATCTTCACAGGGTTTGTTTTCTTGGTCAAGTTGTTTTGTCTTATTTAGCTGCTCTTTCGGTTCTTAAATATGTCATTCTTAGGAACAACAAGATCCAAATCAAGAAACACTTTACTAGTGAATGTAATGAGTCAGACCATATGCAATAAGATTGATTGGCTTCTATCCGGGCAATGCTCTTTGGTTTTCTGGTCATCGTTCTTGTTTCGGTTGGTTTGGACTAGATGCCAGCCGAACTCGGACGGGAATGAAGTCTCTGTCATGTGGACTTTTTGGCTGTGATACACAGAGCTCTTCAATCAGCAATTTCCCTGGTTAAACAGTTGAACGTTAGCTCTTCATCCTTTTAATCAGGTTCATTGCCGACGCAATCGGTTAAACAAAATATGTGTGTATATATATATACATGTATGTACTCTGTGCTGCTTCTTTACCTCTTCGTTTCCTTTCAATAATCTTCCCTTAACAAGTTCTTCCCAGTCTCGTTCATGGTCTCGCCCAGGTGGTCGAGGACTACGTGGATTTGAGCCATCTCACCGTCTCCGTCTTGGGCAACATGGTCTCGTTGTCCGGAGGCTCCAAAAACCAACGGGATTTGGGCAGAGCTGTAGAGTTGCGAGTGTTTCGGAGAGCTGTTGGTCTTTTTGGGTTTGGTTACGACTAGCGTCCTTGCTACTAGCAGTGATGGCCTCCAACCTAAAAAGGGATGTCCTGCAACCTAGTAGCTTCTTGCGACTAGTGTTCTATGGGTTTTCCTCTGGTTTTCCTCTGATCCACCAGGGCAAGATACCGTGCTGCGGATCTTCTGTCCGGAGCCGGAGAGTGTGCAGACGTTCTCCGAGCAGATCAGGGCTGCTTGGATGTGCATGGAGGGTGGACACAGGAGCGAAGACGGTGAAGTTATCGGTGATCAACAGAGGGGATACCCGAAAAAGTGTACCAAACCGACCATTCTATTCCAACTTAGTGCACTGGTACCAAACCCAATTGGTTCGGTACCAAACCCACTAATTGGTGCATCTCCACACACCGACCCACACCGACCCATGCTCATCCTTCTTGTCACGGAGTGGTTGGAAGGTAGTAAGTAGACACTGGACAGCCCCAAGGGGTCCGGTCGACACGCGTCGTATCGAACAACGCACGAAAGTGGATTTCGACGAACCAAACATGGATTTCCTTCATCCGGAGGGGTTCCCAGATTGGATTTGGGGCGTTGGGACCGGCTGCGGCTACATGGGTTGACCATCTTGAGTCTCTTTTGGACATCACATGGCTTGTTATATATATATATATTTCAAAATTACGACCCTTCTTAGAATTAAGATTGGTATTGTCATATATTTTCAGGTTAAACTATATATCATATGGTCAAAACCTTTCTTCAATTACCTCCCTACTCGATGGCGGTTTTTCTTCACAGCCAAAACTGGATCGGAGCCAGGAGAGTCTGGGAACGAAAGAAGCAAGGTAGGCTTAGATGGTTGAGGGAACCCAGGAAGATCTTTTTGGGAAGCATTGATGCATTAAGAATCTCGGAATCTCTGGGAAAGACCACTTGTCATGACCCTAGATCATGACAGCGACAGGTGACAGGTGATAATATCTGAAGATCATCCATCCTTTTTTGCTTCCAAGAACCATCTTTTGGTTTTCGGTGCAGTGGACTTTTTTATATCGTGGAAAAAGGCGATGCCCACTAGTGTTCTCAAGATAGCGCACAATTGCTCTGAAAGCGGATGTTTGATGACCTAATCCTCTGAATTCAGGCTTCTGCAAGGCGACCTGTTCAGAGAAAAAATCAAATGGTACCGCATATCCCTTGTCTGTGTCATGAATCCAAACTGGTAAGCATTTCCCAGCGAATTACACATGATGCAACAGAAAAACTTTCTTTTGAACAGCGGCATAATCTTTACCAACGTGTCAAAAAATGCATTCGCCTCAAACAGAGTCTTGCAACGCTTGCGTGGACGCAATAAATTAGGTGCTTTTTGTGCAGTGTAATTCATCAGTGACTGTTTACTAGATCAGTCGGTTGGGCCGCTCACGTGTGTCACAAGGTTTGATACATGCGAGCTATGTGTACATGGGAGTTTGAGTACATACCTACCCTAGAGTACCCCACAAAGTGGAAGGGCTGTTAGGGGCGTGACCGTGACAAGTCCGCAAGTTCGTGTGTGGTGCAGTGGACTTTTGTTTCCATTTCAAGCTCTGACTCGACACACTCCAAATCGCCGACACTCTTCCTTGCTACAAAAAACCCCTCTCCCAGGCTGCTAGCTACATGCGCGTCTCAGACGAGCCACTTGGCAGTGACCACGTGGTCGTTTGTGGAGCGAAGCAGTTCACGCTCTTTGGAGCTGAGAGCTGAGAGCTGAGACGAACAGACCTCCGAATCACCCCGGCCGCGCGATCGGCGCGATCGAGCCGCGCGCGACCGGGGGAAAGGGCTTCTTGAGCGTCGATCGTCGGACCGGCCGCGTTGGCCTCGCCCCTGCTAGTATTTGCGTCCTTGTTACTACTAGTAAGGCACCTGTTACTAGAAGCGAATGCACTTGTTCCTAGCGTTCTCGTTTGGACCGGCTCTGCCGCGTTGGCCTCGACCGGAAGGTCTGGAGCGAAGGGGCTCTGGTCGTTCGACGAGTCGGGAGGTGGTGAAGACGGCCGGACTTCGCGTCTCTGTGTTTTCACTTGGGTGGGTGGAAGTTGTGAGGTACCTCAAGGGGCTGCAGGAGCACATCAAGAGCCGAAAGAAGGTGCGACCTCTGACCTCCCGCGCTTCTTCGAGCGCAGCGCTCCCGCGGCAAGCGCGTCGGATGGCTTCGATGCGCGACGATGCAACGGACAAAAGGAACAGACTACTCAGTAACGTAGTAAGTGACCGTAGGATTCCGTAGGATGTAGACTCAAGGGGCCCTCGAGTGGGATCCATCAAGAAACGCAAAAACCACCAGCAAAACGTCGTGAAGAGGTGTGTTGCTCCAGCTGCGCTAGGGTGGCTGTTCGTCCGCGCTGCAGGCCGACAAGCGTCGCTCCTGGGCCAGTGCCTTTGGTCGCTGGACCGAGAAGATTTGTGGCGCCCGGACCGGGCATGCGCACGCCGCGCAGATTTTTTCGTGGACCTGAAGTTCAGGAGTGTGGAAACTTGGAGGGAAGAGAGGAGCTTCTATACTTCCTTACTCACTTAAGTAGGTGCCTACTTGATGAAGTAGGGGGCGCCTCTACGGGCCCAAGAAGAAAGAAGAAAGGTCTGAGTCTGAGGAGAAGAAAAGAAGGTCAACAACAATTACCCAGGGAAGAGATGAGAGTAACAAGAAGCTACTAGGGGCTGGCCTGCTCCTAGTAAGCGAGTTTCACGCTACTAGGGCCGCCAGGGCTGCTGGCATCGCTACTACGAACGGAACAAGAAGCTACTATTGACCGAGGGAAGAGATGAGCATGCTGGTCCATCCATCCTGCAGACCATTTGGGGGTGAATACCACTCGGAGTCGGCACCGGAGTGCTGTGGGGGACCACCAGAGTGGAGGGACTTGGTCGTTGGCCCATTATGGAAATCAGGTTGTTTAGGGTAGGTCTCCTCATAAGAAGCATCTGAAGCTTGTGGTCCGGATTGAAGGATCAATGGCCTTGTGTGGCAAAAGATAGATAGGCCAAAGACAGATAGGAGTTGTGTTTCCTGAAAAAATGGGTTTATCCAGCACTTCAAAAGAAGCAGCTGCTAGAAGCGGAGCCTTTGGGTCCGAAGACGATCCCACTGGCGAAGGAGCTCTCCGACGGGCACCCAGGCGGAGGCAATGCTGAAGCGCAAGCCGCGGAGACCCGGTCGGGTGAGTCGTGTGTTGGGGGGTCGTGGTGAAGCTACGAAACGGAGAGAGGTTTTGGAGGTATTCGAAAGGGATCGGGATCATGTACATATTGGCGGATGGGCGGTGAAAAGCCTCTTCCGGATGCTACGAAGGACTCTTCCTCTTAAAGCGAATGAATGGACACATCCAGCAGCTCCAAACTTGGCTGAGATCGTCGCGGTCAGGTTTTCTCCTTCTCTGCCGCCCCGAGGGTTTGTCACGCAGATCGTCTCCCAACGCTCGAAGTCTAGGCCCTCCCAACGCTTCGACGGAGCCGCAAGCTCAGCGCGCTGGCGCGCAAAAGAGAGCTGACCTTCGGTGCCGCCGAAAAAAGGGAACGGCACGGAGACTCCGATGGGTACCAGGGTGCCAGCGAAAGATGTTTGGCATGGACGGCCACGGTGGCCTGCGGCCTCCCACTTGGCCCACTTGAACGCCCATCGAGCCTCTAAAAACCAGCTTGTGAAGGAAGAGAGCTGCGCAATCAGTCAACCGCACCAGTGGTTTGTCTGTGTTTGGTGTCGTTTTTCGTGCCCTGAACCGGCGCTAAACTGAGGCTGAGGCGTCCTTTTTGGGCCGCTTCTACTTGAAGAGCACCTGGACCGAGGTGGTTTCGTGCTGGGGAAAAGAGATGATGTTTGATGTCCTGTATCATGTTCCACGATTTTCAGTGAAAGTTCTTGTTCTGCTACTTGTTGAAGGAAGACTGCTACAATCCAGGAGTTCCTATGTGAAAGTGGATGCACTGTGGGATATCCCTTGATCGCCCTGGGCTGTTCTTTTGATCGCCCTTTAGCCGACCCCCAGCAGACCCACCTGGTGGATGGCTGACCCACACCAATTTGTAAAGAGAAGGGAAGAACACACCAGAAAGACGGTTTGAGCTTGTACATGATGTGCTTTGTAAGCAAGTTTCCTGATGTACTTTCGGTTACAAGGCCCCCGCTTCTTCCAGCCAAGACTGTTTGGGGTGGCGCGTTTCCCCTACGGGGGTGCAGACCACCAGGCCAATGGGAAGATCCACGTGCACGGAGATGCACTGATCTTGCAGAGCCTTGGGACGGATGGCGAGGTGGGTCACAGATGCCGAGCTGAGGAAGATTCAACCACAGGCTCCGACACAAAAAGACCTTAACATAAACGAAGGAACGCATCGTTGATCTATCTATCTATCTATCTATCTACCTATCTATCTATCTATCTATACATACATACATACATACATACATACATACATACATACATACATATATATATATATATATTTGCTTTTATGTATATAGCGTTTGATTTTTGTTTCATTGTTGTGAACTCAAACAGTCCGGGTGTTTCTATTCTGGAAACTCTCGAGACTTCCGTCACCGACCAGGTCTCAATGCTTTACTTGTTGGTCGCTCTAAGGAGTCTTCCTCGGTCGACGTAAGCCAGCAGTAAGCACCTGATGGATAGAGTATCCCTTAGAAGTCCAGTTGGACCATGTTTTGACCGACGGAAGTTTTCAGGAAATTCCGAACCTCAGGTCACCGTTCGTCAGACCATTCTTGACACCTAGTCCTTTGACAAGCTAGATGAAGTATCACAATAGATGAAGTCTGCCAGTCTCCTCCATCCACCGGCAGGTCAAGCACTTTGCCATTCCTTTGACAGGCCGGTCCAGCGCTGACCGCTCCGCTCGGTTCTTCGCGCCGGTTTCGCGGCGCCGCAACCGGCCCGGTGCACCGCCGGTTTCAGGCGCCACGGCCACCACCGCGGGCTTCATGGTCTCGGCTCGGGGGCCAAAAGCCCCCCGCGCGACACACGGGAACATAGACTTATCTTAACGTTTCTTGAGAAAGAACCAGCACATACCAGAAGAACTTGGTGAGAGAATAGGGCCCACAGATCCCTTCGAGAGATTTCATTTGTCCCCCTTTTTCTGTTGGATCCTTCGGTTTTGGCATGACCCGAGATGCGCAGACAAGCCACGTTGGGCAGGGCCAAACATAAAGCCACTCCGGGCCATTGCAAACGCATCTTTTCTGGGTGACGTGGCTCATCTGGACGGTCGTCGCGCTGCTTTCGTTGCGTCAGGTGCGACGCCCGGACGGGCTGGCCCTGCTGCGACTGTGGCTGGACAGCAGCGAAGAAGCCGAGGAGCTGACGCAGCGCATCATCGCCACGGCCAGCCCCGTGAACGGGGCCAGGGAGTTCCGGCTTCTTGTGTTTTCAAAAGGGCCAGAGAGGTGAAAAGAGAAAAAAGCGAACCGTAAAGGACATGTTTGAAGAAAATTAGACAAGGACACAGTGTTTAAAGAAAATAGAATAGACACCACATCAAGACACAGACTGACTGATTCCACTCGGTTGGGTTGGAGGTCAGTTTGGGGGTCGAGGTCTCTTGAGTGGTGGGCGGGACATTTGCAGGCGACGTGCCAATCTCCTGGCTACCCTGTGAACTCTAATTTCTCGGTACTAGAACGACGGACGACCACTACTCCACTACCACTACCACTACCACCTGCCACTACCACCTCCTACTACTACTACTACTACTACTACTTGCAGTCCAATGGTTCGGGCTCCCGCCGGCGGGGGCGCGTTGCCTCGCCGTGACCAGGGCGAGGCCTCCGCCCAGCTGGTGCAGCGGAAGATCTTGCCCCAGGCCTCCACCGTCAGGCGCCGCGGGTTCAACGGCGCGCAGTGAACGGCGGTGGGGGACGGCACACGGTCGGAACGGCGGGTCACGGATGGAAGGCCTTTTTGGTAGCTAACGAGCTTCATTCTGAGACGGAACATGGAAGATGTTCCCCCTGTTCGCCGAGTGTGTGACGCAACATCATGTTTCTGGAAAAACCTCGGAAATTCCTCAGAGTGCGAAGTTCGTGGAATACTCAGGGCTCTTTGAGCGGGTGTGGTTTGAGGTTCTATTGAGCTGTTTTTCATCCTAGCCTGTCCTGCAGGAATGCATGGACAAACATCACGAGAGAACTCCAGGATCTTCTGTGCTGTGCACCGGGGAGAACTTGGCACCTGTAGATGCGGATCCCAAACACATGTAGAAGGCACGAACAGATAGGGCATAAAGCGCCTTGATACGGAGTAGGGATTTTCTCGCCACGTCGAGTAGATAGACCAGAGAATCTACGGAAACAGTCCCGAACGTGGCCAGATGATATCAGACGAATGACATGGTCCATCTTCAACCCATATCTTCCAAACATTTCGGTCTCAAACACAAGGGTGTTTTGTGGTACATGACCCTGCCAAGAGAATTTTGCTCCTGCCCCGCCCCAAAAAACCCTAGGGTGCTCCAACAAAACCAAAAAGACTCACCCGGACACCTGGGTGACGTGCACGTTCCACCCGCCTCAGCCCGAGAGCCTCAGCGCGGTTTCAGGCGGCAGATTGGCCGAATGGCCGAGAGCTTGTGCAACTGCACCATGCAGGACTGGGACGTTGGGCTTCACGCGTTCCACGCGTTCAACGGCGACGGGGTATGACTTCTCCCATGGCGTCCGAACCGAACGAGGCGGATCAAGGCGCCCCAGTCCGGTCCGGAGCTCCTGCCAAGAAGCTCTCGCAACTCCCAAGGTCCAGAAGCTCTCTCAACAGCCCAGCGGTTGGAGGGAGTCACTCCCATCCGATTCATCCGATCCACTTCTTGGGGGCTCTCTGAACTGCGGCACATCCACTCAACTAGATCTTTTCAAGATGAACTGATTGACTCCACCCGTCAATGTAGACTCTTGACTAATAACTCCCCCCCTCTCAAGAGGTTTTGAAGAGTCATACAGCTACAACAAAGATACCTCTTGCTCAAGTCGTCGCTTCCTTCCACTGCACCTCCGCTGGCTCCGCTGGCTCCAGGTGCCGCAGGGCTTGAGGGCTGCCCTGGTCCCCAAGGGCGGCTGCTGGGAGCGCAAACCGAAGAGGACCGGGGCCCGGTGCGCCGTGCGAAGGGACATGCTTCGCGGTTCCGCGGTTCCGCGGGGCTCCTGTTTTTGGCCCGGGCTGCCTTTGGGTTCCGGGTGGCGGGAGGAGGGACTGTGGTAGGGAGATGCCATCCGGCCATGGCGCCGTTGTGCAGCTCTGGTGCGGTTTGAGGAGCCATGCTTTTGTGTGGATGGCTGAGAACACAGCTGAGAGGATGGTTGGCGCCGTGAGGATCATGTTGGTGGATGGACTTGTGTTCTTTTTTGGAGTCTTTCATGAATCAAGATCAGAAGCCTAAGCTGTGGCCGGGTAGGACACGAGCTCGATCGAACACGCGCGGGGAAAAATCACCCTTAGATCAGACAACATCCTTTTTCTGCATATTTTTTTTTCCAACGACCCAAGCCCCTTTGAAGTCGCACCAGAGGTCGAACCGGCGCGTTCCGAGATCGCGGAAACCATGCGCCGCCGGTTGCCGCGGGAAATCGCTGCGAGCCGGTGGAAACCGCTGGAAACCGCGCGTGTGACCGCGCGTGTGAAGAGCCCGGGCCACGACCCTGACCACATCTCTTTCCCCTACGACCCGTCGCCGATGCGCCCAATTGACTCGTCAGATCTGTCTTCCGCGAAACCCACTCGGGCCGGGTCCCGGCCGGGTCCCGGCTTTGAAGCGGCTGGGACTCGGAGTGTTGCATGCAAGCACCTCGTTCAGGGTCATCAAGGAGGAGGCCTTCGTGCTGGATGGGCGATGTTCAATCCTGCGCGCCAAGTCAGAGGCTTCGGTGGGGGGGTCGAACGACCTGCGCTTCCGCTGGTGGAGCCCTGAGGGGGTTGGAGCCCATGGTCCCGGGTCGCGTCAGGGTGGAACCGCTGTGGAACCGTTTTCAGAGTGCAGGACTACTCGGAAGGTCAACCTGGTTTGGGGCTCCGGGTGTTGACCCACAGCCACATCGGCTTCTTTTGGCTTCCACCAAACAGCTCTCACCGCTGGGAAATGTTAAAACGGGATCAGGATGGGTGACAAACCACGGATATGAGAGGTCAAACTGGATGTCTTTATTTTTGTTGTCAAGCAATCTTTTTCGATGAAAAACTCGATGAAACTTTTGATTCCGACACCACTCCACCCGAGCCGCCCCCTGCTTTCACCGCGAAAAGCCAGCCCGCCGAACGCAGTGACACCGCGCCAGGAGGTGCACGCCTGCCACGCGGTGCTCCGCGGCGATGCGCTTTGGTTTGGCCGCAAGGCTGGCGCCTGCGACCAGGCGGGAGATGTGTGGCGAACAATTATATAGAAGAGTAATGAAGAGTATATGATCAATGTATATATATATGTAGTACAAATACAAATATGCAGTCAAATACAAATATATATATATATTTATATAACATAATCAAATACAAATGATATTATGTACAGTCTACATTACATCATTCATTATGCATATATACAAAGGTGTTTTTTGTTTTTTTTAACCGGGAGCATTGCCCTTTTTCCCGGTGTGATCCGGGAAGTAGTTAAGGACCTGCGGATACAAGAATAGCAAACCCCTCACATGGATTGACTTGGACATGGTTCTTGAGCAGTAGATGTGGTGTGGTTTTGTCACTCTTGAAGTTGCCAGGTCAGTCGGCAGTGTTGAATAGTTGTGGTGTCGGGCAAGCTAGCATTTTCGAGTCGAGACACTAGAGTTCAAATGATGTTCTATCGCACATATCATTGGTGAAGTAGAAGTATAGTTTGCCCAAGTGCCATAGGTTTCCTGTCTTCTCGCATCTCTTGCCTTCTGTCCAAACCGATCAACGAAGCTGCCGTTCGTGCACCTCATCCTGCTCTCATCGTTCGCCCAGACGACCAGGTGATGAGCGTGGTGTCCGCCACGGTGCTGCCATGCGAGGGCATGGTGCTCATCAAAACGCGCACGGGAGATTGCCACAGGCCGTCGAAGGGCCGCTGGGTGCGGGGTGTTCTGCGGACTCTCTGTGAAGCAAACAGGAAGGATAGATGCAGGATGTGGAGAGAGGTGGCTCAATTTCTCGCCAACTGGTCAATGGTTTTCAATCTTGTTCGCCCGTTGTAGTCAACTCTGGCCGTAGAGGGTGATGGTTTGAAGGAAGGATCTAAAGCCAGTTTGGAGTTTGTTGTCTTGTGCCACACATCTTCCCTGCTGGCGCTGGCTATACAGAAATGGTATGTCGGTTCGTGCTCAACATGTCCTACCTACAAGTTGGACAGGCAACATTGGTGTGTATTGGAAGAGTGAGGCCTCCAACCAATGGGCTTTGAGTCCATATTTTGTCCGGTCTTCCTATACACATCATCCCTACGTTCGTCCAGTTTGACCCAGTGAAACCTGGCCCTGACAACCTCCCAGTGTTTTTGGTCCTGACCAACTCCAGTAAGGCCATGAGGTCATGGACGTCCGAGCCTCGTGAGGCTTTGGCCTGAAGAGCCTCAAGATGCCAAGAAGTGGAGCGACGCCATCCAGGCCCGCGCGAACGCGCGTGTGCGCGCGGTTTCGCCTGCGCGAACGCACGGGAGGTTCCGCAGCCGCGCAAAGGATCAACGAGTGCAGATTGGAGCAGGGGAGACGTTGGTTGTTGGGGGGTTGGAGATGAGATCCAAGCCATGTCAAAGCCCAGGCGACCCAGCGTATCTGGCTATTAACCGAAAAGTTGAACCCCTAAAAAACACCAAAATACGGAATGAAACACCTCAAAGACTGCGTTCCGCCGCCTGTCTCACAGCTGCCCAGGTGGCTGGGCAGATCTCCAAGGACTTGGGGAAATGGGAGGCCTGGCTCTTTGGTGGATGGGTCTGGGTCTGGGCCACCTTCTTGTGCTCTGGGTTTCACTTCGGCCACCTTCATGGTGCAACGCTCCGAAGACAGCCTCCGAAAACGGCGTGTTCCAAAAGGAAAAACAGTTTGGCATGGACTGCAGTGCTTGACGCTCCTCGGTTGGTTCACGCCGGGAGGCGAACAAGAAGTCGGCCTTCTACGCCGAGACCGCACAAGAGAAGGCCGCGACGAGTGCGACGAGTCTGGACCTCGCCGTGGATCCTTTCGCCTTCGGGTCCTGCCTCCGGAAGTTCGAGCGTTGGGAACGAGGACAGCATCGGTAGCTTCAGAGTGATGGATTGAGGGTTTCAAGTGCAGGACCATGCTTTTCGCAATGGACAGGGAGCGTAGGAAGGTCATGGAAGGTCCTGGCATCTTGAGGAGTGGACCTTGGTGAATGACTCAGCTCCACTCCCCGCGGCCCGGGCATTGGATCACATGCTTTGGACCTCTTCGTTCGCTGTCGCGACCGCGTGGGGTTCCGTCTCGCCTGTGCCCAGCCTCTGTCGCGAGGTGCGCACGTTGGCACGTGGCCGGTGCTTCAGGTGGGGACGTCGGTCGGTTGGTCGACCAGCCGCCTAGCCTCTGTACATGGCCAGGTGAGTCTGCTGTTTCGGGAGATGCGAAAGTGAGTGTCTACTCACTCTCCAGGTTTTCCCGGACCTCATTGGACTGGGTCCGGGAAGTCATGCCAAACCGATACTCAATTTTTGGTCAGTTCGGACCAAGTTTCACTTGCTCCTTGGACTTTAGCTGCCATGGCTTAAGCGAGTTGGGGGGAGGGGAACCACATCCAGATGCATCATTCCTTGAAACTCAACCGCGTTCGCAAGAGGCACGCGTTCGCTGGAGGCACACGTTCGCACGTCCACGGGCCAGGATGGCTGCAGAGTGGATGAGCTCCAGTGCCTCCCGGGTGGCCAGTTGGGGGAGCTCAGAGGTTCCGCAGATGGTAAACTCACGACTACAAGAGATACTATATATATCCAGGACACCCTAAGGGGTGTCTATTGATAGCCCCTTAGAGGTTAAGGGGTGTCCATTAACCACCCCTTGTGGGTCCTAGTACATTGGGTTTGCCCGAACCCTTTTTCCTTTCTACCGTCTGGAAACAAGAACATCGCGCTTCTTTTTTGAGATTGGAAAGGGCCTGCAACCAGGCCCCTATCATCATCCACTGCTATACAAGTGACTTATAGAAGTTTGCTTTTTGACTCTTGACTCTTGATCACCCAATGCTTGTTACTGTCCCACTCACTAAGATGGACGTGTAACACCACCTGTTAGGCCGAGCCAAATGGTCTTCCCCGGGGCCCAGATTTTCCACTTCCGTTCGTCAGTACTGTCCCTGTCGTCAGGCCTCATCTGCTCCGAGCGCACCACTGCCACCCAGGCGCCGGAGGGCGCCCGAGATCACGGCGCAGGAACGAGGAACGAAAGAGATGGCGCTGTGATCGTCAAGAGATAGCCGTTTGCCTTAGGAAGAATATGATGGGGTCAGTACACACCACCAAACTAAACGACTCTCCCCCCTTCTACCACATCTCTTTGGTGCAAATCCACTCAGATCGCCAACGCCAAGCGCGTGAAAGTCTCAAGTTGAGGAACATCGACGGCCATGCTGTTTTGAGCGCCCTTGGAGCCATCGTCACCCCTCCGGGCTTCTCCGCGAAGCCGGCGCCCTCCGCGGATGGAGGTGTTGATGATGTGGCAGGAGGCATCGCAGATTCCTCACGAGATCACCCCCAGCACCAAGGCGAGGGAAGTGGTCAGGAATCGGTCCATTCATAGCTTTTTGTTACTCGTAGCAAAAGGAACCTAATAGGAATGGCCTCCATCCCAGTAGCGATGGCCTCCACCCTGATAGACAACATGGACCTTTTTTGGCTTTCAAAACTACTGGAAACCGAATAAAGGTGGCCCACCTCAATGACCTTTGTCATGTGGAACAACACCCAGAAGTTCGCTCCGCTCACATGATCTCCGACACAGACCTGGCTCACTCCCATCGTGCTCCGCCGAGGCCTATCCCTCGGTCGAGGCCAACTTCAGCCGCCGCGCGGGCGTCACGGGCAAGTCCGTGCCGAGGACCAGGGACCGGACCGGTCAAACCGGCGGAGAAGCACGGAAAGACCGGCGACGCGAGGAAGGGTGTGGTGTGGAGGAGGGCAGTGGGGGTGGCGCTACCATGCGGGGTGCGGGTGCGGGGTAAGATCATGCTGTTGGTGCACGTGGATCCCATCCGAAAGCCCAGGAACCCTGTTGAAGGTGGAAGAAAAAGCAATGCTTGGCTGATGCTGATGGCATCTGATTTCAGTGCTTGGGCGTCGCTGCCATCCAGACGTTGCCTGCCACCGCCAAGCAGCTGGGCACCATCACCCCGGGTGACATAACAGCTGCCACCGCAGACTTGGTGGGCAGATGTCCCGTTAGACACACGCTTTTGGTTTGCACCAATCCGCGTGTGGTGATTAGAAGGTAGCTTTACAGCCTCCAAAAGGACCGCATGGGCTAGTAGCTTGGAGCCCATCGGTCGTGTTGTGCCTTGGACGAAGGCAAAGAGGTTTGGTCCACGGTGGATCCTAAGGGTTGCACGGCCATGGTGGAGGTCAAGACCTCTGGTGGAGGTCCCTTAAACTCCGGGAGACGCGGCAAACACATTTTTCGGTTTGTTTTTGCCTGCTAACCAGTACTGTTGCATGGCCCTTTGGCATCTATGAACATCTTCATGAATCTGATCAAGTGGATTTCCGTTTGTTTTGTTTTGTTTGTCTGTTCTGTATGTTTTTCCGATGTTCGCCCCCCCGTGGTTTTGCCGTCCCGCGACGCCCGGTTCACCGGCGCGCCGGCCGTCCGGTCCACCGGCGGGTGAGGACGTTGGAGGTGCGAGGCGACGTGATGTTCGTCTTCGACCAGGACCGGCACTTGGAGTCTTGGCGTTCGGCCCGATGTAGGAGTCTGATGCTGAACACCGAAGGTCCGATGCCCACGGCTTCTGCAGTGGTACCTCCTGAGATGGAACAAAGATCCAATCGACTCAGCCGACGGAACCCATCGCGGATCGTTTCTGCGGGCAAGAAACACCCGGAGCGGGCATGGCCGGAGTCGTTCTTTTGTTTTTTGTTTTTCCGTTTGGTCCCTTGCGCGAAGTGAAGAAACTTCCCAGGCCATTGTCCACTGCTTGCCGGGTAGGGAATGGTTCCACAAGGGACAAACTTAGTCTAGATCAATCCTCAAGAACATTTGTGCGCAGTGCGAAGGGAGCCTTTAAACTCTCCGACTACCAAAGGTTTGTGCTGTTGTTGTTGGTTTTGTCGTCAGGCAACAACGTCATTTGAACAGCCGAAAAAGAATGCTCCATCCTGGAAGGGGCGTTTGGTCACAAAGCTCCATGTCCTATTGAACGTGTCTGCCTCCTCAAGTCCATGCAGGGCAAGATGGAGAAGCCGGTGATGCTTCAAGGCATGCCGCGTGTGGCCGGTGACATGGCCTTCAGGAACTCAACCTCAGCCTACCATGGGATGGTGAGACATCCCTCATAAGAGAAAAGCTGTTCATTTTCCGTGGTGAACTGCCAGACCTCCGGAGTGAACAGGAGATGTTCGGTGAAGAGCGGAGAAACAGGAAGGTTCTGGGACATTCGCTTGCCAACTCCCCGATGTTTTTAAAATAAAGGCACGTTTGACTCATAGAAGCCAGAACAACATGTGAACAGAGAACCGAACCGTTGTGGGCATGATTGGTTCACAAATCATGCAACCTATGGAGGATCTTCACCTTTTGCTATTCCAGCCCACTTAATTAGATCGGCCCGTGTCATAAATTCACTGGTGTAAAACCTCAGGGGGATGACCTTCCCCAACCGGAGCCCAAGAAAAGGAACTCTCCTTTCTTCTCCAACCGGAGCATGCGCTTCTTTTCTTCGGCTTTGGAGCCCAAAGAACGGCTCGGCTCGGCCGCTTCTCGGAGTCCCATTTCCAGGCGCCAATGTGTTTGTGAACACCGACCGGTACAACGTGGTCTCGATTTGGCCGGGAGCAAAGACCTTTCGTCGTCGCGCGCTTCGCCGGATTAGACGGCGCCGCGCGAACGTTGTGGGGCGAAGAAAGCGGAAGGAAGAACCCGTAGAACGAACCATCGGAGAATCCAAATCTGTCACGGGCAGGGCGAAGCCGACATCCCTGACAGGTCTGTTTTTTCTTGGAGAGGTCATGATGAATCAACTCTCCAAAATGAAGAGTTTTTCACAACTTTTGCGTTATCCATCTACATGTTAGTTTTGTGGAGGGAGATCTACCCTGCAGATCAACCCTCCGAATTCTTTCCCCTGCTACTCTCGTAGCTTCAGCCAAGCTACGTTCGTAGCTTCTGCACTGACTTGTTCCGTTCGCGGCTGCCGTCGAAGCCGTCGAAGCAGTCGAAGCCCTACTCAGCCCGTGGATTGGATGCTCCGCCGAACCGAGAAGTCGAAACCCTCTCAGTCGGTGGGCGCGAAGGGGAGCGGCCTGCGACGAGCGGCCGCGACGAGCGGCTGCGACGTCAATAGACATGATGGCCGAAGATCCACATTTTCCCTCGTGAGCACCAGTGCGACATCATCTCTTTGTGGCTTCAAAAACCAGCCACTTAAACTCCGGGAGTTTTCAAAACACCTGACTCGACCCAAGATATGGCAGATATATATACTTTTCTCCCACCTGACTTTTCTGCAGTACTCCGCTGTGTTTAGAAGTACCCCGCTGATCAACCATTGATGCTGTGACAGGTTGAATGGAGAGATGCAGGCGCAAGCTTCCGTCCGCGGTTGACCCAATATGACATACTCGGAGTGATTGAGACTTGGTTGGTTTCATGATGTTGCATCTTTTTGACCCATGCACGTCACCCCGGTCAGCTTTGAAGCTTCTTCGGTCAGCTTCTTCGACACGGTTCACGTCACGTCGAACGCCACGCCGGAAGCGCTCGAGCCGCTCGCGTGACGCGAACGCCCTCGTTCAGGCGCGGATGTTCATCGATCAGGCGGAGGAGGCTGAGAGCCGGGAGCTTTGGAGCCAAAAAGCTGGTTGAGTAGCTGGCCGAGCGGGTGAGACACCGCTTTTTTCTCGGTTTGAGTGGGTCCTAAGAGATGGTTCGGTGTGGAAGCAGCGAGAATGGGTTGGATATATATATATATATTCGTAGAGAGAACAGGGTTGGAGATAGCCTTTTCTGTTCTCTTCTCTTCTCTTCTCTTCTCTTCTCTCGTGGGAGTGTTGTTAGATTTGCTGTCTGGCACGACAGCTTGCGACAAAGCCAAGGTTGGGGACAGCACCTGGCGAAGGGCACCAAGGTCGGGCCGAGCGGAAACCGTCTCCAGCTTCCTGACCTTGCTCACCTTGATATACCTAGAACCTGAGTGGGCTCCTGGTTTTGGAGGATCAACCATCAAACATATGGTCTTTTCCTATCAAAAGGCAGGTCAAAAGGGTCAAAAGGCTCTAGGTGCATATATACTATATATACCCTGGGAGTCAAAGACTATAAAAAGAATGGTCTTTAGGGGACCTGAAAGGGAACTTCCTTTACTTCAGCCGGTCAAAATATAGTCTTTGGACTTCCAGGGTATATATATATATATTACATGTATACTCCCTGGACTAGTCATGGAAGTGGAGAACCACCACGCGGCTGCCCGCTCTGAAGAATGTCCGAGTCCGTCCGGCGGGGCCCTGCGGGCGGGCGGGCGTAGGGAACTGGTGTTCCATTGCTTCGGAGCGTTGGGACCGGTGGTTCTTGGAAAGATGGTACAGTCCAAACCAAGAGAGGTATCCAGTGACCTGAACTAGGACCTTACTGCGGTACCTATGGGATCGGCTAGTTCGGGTCCTTCAACCTCTGTTTCGAACCACCCATTGAGGTTTCCAAGGACTGACTGTACCATTTGGGATGGTGGGGTTTTCTCAAGTCAGTCTCTCTCCTGCCGGAAGAGAGAAAGGAGGGCCCAATCCGCGGGCGTGGGCGTTGTTTTGTTTTTTCAGCTGCACGGTTGAAACGAGTTCCAGTGGAGCTTTTGATGGAACCACTTGGGAAGATGTCTCCAAATCCATCCCAAATCCCAAGGTTTTTGGGCATTGTTCCATGCTTTTGCGAGGTGAAACAAAGAAGTCTCAGGTTTGCAGCACCTCAGCACGAGGTGTGGGACATGAAACAACACAAAATTCATGTCCAGTTGGCACTTGCCTAGGTTATTTTTGCCCACGCGACATCTCAGGAGGTGTGGGACTTCCCATGTTTTTCACCTTCCCTCTCGGTCTCCACCGAGGTGGTGCAGAACGCTCGAGCGCAGAGGATGGAGGAGGACGACAGGGGCTCGGTGGGTGCTGGACGACGAGCGGGTGACAAAGGCAGGTGGACGAGCCACCAAGATGTCGACCCGTAGACCCCCCGAAGTACCTGCGTTTTGCGATTTTTTTGTGATTCTTCCCGAACTGGTCCAATGCCCCAAACCTGGCGAATGGTCTTTTGACTTCCTTTCCCGGTTCCTGGACGCATCCAAGAGTAGATCCAGCATGATCCAGGTCTGGCCCCCTCAGTTTTTTCTTTTTTTGGACCTGAAACATGGTGAGCGGTGAGCGGCCTTGCCCAAAAAGGATAGTGACCCAACCAATGAACACATCTTTAACCAGTCAAAAAGTAATCCCTGCTAGTCCTTCAGTCTCCTGGTCCTTTGGTCCTCCAGTCTCCAGGCCACCACCACCCCATCAATTTTCCCATCAGTTTTCCTTTAAAACGGTTACCCACTCGCCCCTGACCATCCTGACGCGGAGGTTTCCCTGAAAAAAGACACACATGTTTCCTGAAAGCCGAAGACAAAGTCCTACGAACTCATCTCTGAAAACGATTTGTTCGGCCCGCTCCGACGTCCTCCTGTCCCGGAAGGTGGTGGTCGGTTTAGTCTCCTCGGTTCCGCTGGTTCCCTGGTGAAAACGGCAAAGACGGGTGTCTGTTTGGTTGGTGGTTTGGCCAACGGCCACGGCGTGGTTTGAGTGAGTCTTTTTCGGTTCTGCTATTCGAGTTTGTCTTCCGTTTTTGGACCGTGAAGGAGTTCCGTTGTCCCAACGACCTTCTCCAAGCCTTTGCTTCTACGGTATGTCTTGGTGTGTTTTTTTGTGCGAAGCCGGTAGAACGCTCCAGCTGGCTACCGGGTGCTGCCTCATCGTCAGTGTTTTGCAAGGCTTTGAGAAAGCCCGGAGGCTTGCGGAGAAGAACTCATCCCAAAGTCAATCAATTTGACAAAGGAATTCTTCTTGACGCAGAAGTTTGCCCGCCAACATGGCTCGGCAACGAAGATCCTTTTGAAAAGCATAGAAAAAGCCTTCGCCAGAACTCTCACCAACACTGTGGGGAAAAGTTCTCTCGATCAAAAGTTAGACGCAGATGATTCCCACTCTTTGACAGCGAATTCTCGCCACCTAGAAGCGATGGCCTCCAACCTAAGAGCGAAGTGGCCTCCAACCTAGTAGCGAAATGGCCTCCAACGATGGCTTGACTTGTGCTCTTTCCAAACTCCTTCACGGTCCAAAAACGGAAGACTCTTTCCTAAACTTGAAGAATTTTCCAACCCAGTCCTAGTTACCGGTCTCCTCATTGTCCTTGCAATTCTGGGCCCGACGAGAAAGTATGAGCGAAGTACTTGAATTGTTAAATGGAGCTTCCTACACCAGAAAGCAATGGCATCAGATCCTTGGCACAGATTCGTATCTTCCAACAACGACTACATCCTTGCAATTCTCCACAACCCGTCGCAGCTGGCCATAGTTTGTATGTTCAATGGGGTGCAGGCGCTGTGCCCTCCCACCCAACCCTCCCACGTACTTTTCCATAAATCAGCGTCTCATTTTCTTTCTATCAAACCTTAAGAAAACCATTGATTTTCCTGAACTTGCCCTACAAACCCTTAAGTTTCCCCTCAAGGACCCTTTGATTGCACCAGGAGTCACGTTCGACGGAGTGGTGTTTAGTCCCATCGAGTGAGTGGTGGATGTGACAGGGGCACCCCGACTACCTCCATGGATAACACCCCCGACATGTGACTGCTCTTCTTCCAAGTGACCTTTTGATAACCTGGTTTGAGGTCACTGAGGTCACCTAAGCCTCCTAAGGTCACTTAGGAACCTTCAAAAGGTCACTTTGAAGAAGCTGGTTGATGGCTCAGCCCCTACCGTGAACCGCAAGAAAAACATGCTCAAAACCATGCACGATGCCGGGCGTTTGAGGAGGTGCCGCCACTCCCAGACACCAACAGTCCGGCCACCCAGAACTTCCGTGACGAACGACGATCTGAGGAACTACTGCTAGTTCATCCATCCACCGGTTGCAGGACCTCGGGGTAGTTCGATTTGAGTCATTCTCCTGGACCCTCAAGGTGACTGATCTGAATGCTTCTGCTCCCCGATGGTGGGGAGGAAACGCGCCTCCGGAATGGGAGGCCAACGGCCCAAAAAAACCGCCGGGAACCTTCCGAGCGACGGCCGGACAGCGAACCAGGCTAAGGCGTTGGCGTAAGGGTTGTTTTCAGGCTCACGACACTGACGGGCACTGGATGAATTGCTGCAGTTCATTTTTGGACCCGGAATCGCTGTTCTGGCCAAGCGAAAAAGGAACATCTTAGAACCTCAGAGCATTCTTTGTGAAGCACCGAACTCCTTTCATCCATTTTGGGTTCCGTTTCATTGCCCGAGGCCAGCCCATCTTGTCCCGCGGCAACTCCTTCAGGGCTCCGTTCTCGGAAGAACGTCCGAAACGAAGACTTTCTGTACGACTCAACTGCTGAACCCCCCATAATTTTTCTTGCCCTATGGAGAGTTTTGTCTTTGGGATTCACTTGTCACTGTTTCGTCTGGGGAAGCATACCCAATGGTTCGCAAGCATTGGTTCAGTGGTCTTTAGATAGTGATTGGTGTAGCACGAAACCACGGTGAGACTCTTAGTGCTCTTCGAAGATCAGGGTCTTGCTTGGCCAATGGCAACCTTCGGACCATGGTCCTCTTAAGAAGATGACATGTCAGTTCCGTCACGCCCGACGCCGTTGCCTTCGGTCAAAAGGCGCTGATTCTTCCTCCTTGAATTTTGAGATGTGTAGAAGCAATGGCCTCCAACTTACTAGCGATGGCCTCCAACCTCCTTCCACCCTCCAGATGGGTGTGTATTTTCAGTAGGGAGATCCGGCTAGACACCTTCATCCAACTCCTCTGGGCTGTGAACCACCCGGACCGCTCCGTTCACCCGAACACGGTTTCTCTATCTTCCCTTCCCTCCTTCTTCTGGGAAGGGTCTTGACCAGCGTTTTTCGAAAGCAGTTCCAGATGATGTTCCATGATGTTTCTTTTTCCTATCAGACCCATGACCTGTGAGTGTAGTTCCTCACTGGCCCAGTGTCCACCCCGCTGTCATTTCTTGGAAGAACCGAGCGACATGATCGCCCCTCCCAGGTCACCACTCCCACCAAGCTGTCCGAGCAGGCCGGAAGGGGGGGAACAAAAACCCAACACCCGCGCGGACGGAGCGTGAACGATTTGCGAGACCCTGGTGGGATCTTCTTTTTTCTCCAGGAGGTTGGAGGCCATTTCGCCAGTAGCTAGAGGTTGAAGAGCCCCATAGTGTACCACTACAGGGTAGTTCAGGTCTCTCAACCTCTCTTGGCAGCTTGGAGCGCGATTGATTGTTCATTTTCTTTCTTCACCACTTCTGTGGCCACAAGTCGGCGATTGGCCTTGAAGGGCCTCTGAGATCCGCCATGCCATGGGGGTTGTTCCTAGTGGTTCCATTCGGTTTTTGGCGAAAACATGGGAGGTTTTCCACCTATCTCAAGCAGCCAAGCAGCACCCGAGATGAGTGGCCGTTTGGTCTCTGACAGACCTGCTATGAGTGATGAAAGTGGAGGCCGAAACTCCCTGTTTGATCCAATCTTGAATGGTGTCAGCCGCGAAGTTGAGTTCGATTGATTCCCGGACCCCTAGCAGCCGACCACCTCTCCCCTCCCAAGCGAAGGTGTCGCGGTGTCGCGAAGGTTCCCCGGTGTCGCGCACGCAGGAGCACAAGAGCTCCCAACAGTTGGCGAAGAGCCGTTCTCGGCGCTTTGTGGAAGCACCACTCGATCAGGCCGTGGGCGCATAGGCGGGGTGGCGGGGAGGGGTGGAGTGGTTGGCCTCTCGCAGTCCTGGCATCGCTACGAACGGAGCGATCGGACGCTACGAACGGGGCTCCTGGCCTTACTACTAGGAGCAAGGCCGCTACGAGCAAAGGTCTTCGCACTTGAGGAAAGTGTCAACATTTGCAGGTTGGTGGTGGTCGTGGTGGGGGTTATTATTCCTGACGTCGTCGCTCAAGGAAGACACTTCAAGCTTGCCGTGAAATGCCGTCTGGACGCAGATTGCACGTACCTGCGAGAATATGATTACCTAATTGCCACATTGCAGTAAATAATACCTAGAACATCCTTGAACCTGTTTGTGACCTCTACTTTGGACCACCAATGACCCCAAATATGGTCCAACTTCCTATCAAAAACAGAGCTCAAATGGGTTCTGTGGTATAGGAAGTTGGACCATTTGTTGGGGTGGTTGGTGGTCCAAAATAGAGGTCACAAACAGCTTCGAGGTACACAAAACCAGGCCGGAACCTGGGCCCCCATTCGTCACTCGCTGTGTTCCCATCCTTCCGGGCTGTAGACGGCATCCCTCCTCCCGAAGGGCGGGTCGTGGTGTTCGGACGTGGTTTGTGAGTGCGGATCGGTCTACCTCTACCTGACAAGTTGGGAGGAGGAGTGACTTGTCTTTTCGGGTGGCGAATGGACACACACACACACACACACACACGCACTCACCAGTGGTGCTGGTCCGGTGGTTCTTTTCACCAAGGTATACTACCTATATATATATATATTTTATTTATGTATTTTTTTTGTTCCCTCTCTCTGCGTTTGCGTATACTTCCGAAGATTCTCACGGGATCCGACGACATGCCGAGTGGTCCATCGACGAAGCGAGTGGCCCGCCGAGTGGTCAAATTGGGGGCGTTTGTTCAGAGGGACGGAAGATGAAGGCACCCTCCGTCTGGGGACCCGGCTTTTTTGGCACCAGAAATGAAACCTCGAAATCCACCAGAGTTCCGGGATTCCCCAGCAACCCGTCCGAGGGCCAGAGACGTGACCGGTTGCGCGGTGCGTTCTTTCGTTCCGCCAGCAGGGCCACGCTGCCGGCGCACAGCCGGGGTTCCGCGTCTTAGGTGGGGCCCCACGTGACCGGTTGCGCGACCGTTCTACGGCGTGATGGAGCCTCCGTGATCGACCCCCCTTGTCTCTGTTTGAAGATGGACCGTTTGGTGGCTGAATTCGGTTCGATGATGTGCGGAACAGCAAAGATTTTTGATCATTTTCCACTTCCATCCGCTCTTTTGGACCATCAACCACCCCAAAGATGGTCCAACTTCCTATCAAAAACAGCAGCTCATGTCCGGGTTGGATGTTTGGGTGGACAGAGGGGGCAGATTGGTGACCGGTCCGACGGGGGACTCTTCGGTTCCCCGATTCACCTCTGTCCGGTTCACCCCGGTTGACCCCGGAGCGGTAAGGACGTCCCGTATCCCGAACGTGGACGAAGAGTTTGGAAGGCAAAAAGATTGCCAGTATGGACTGCTCCTTTCACGGCCAGATCTCTTGGTAGATATCGTGGCCCAAAAACACTCAGCCTGCTTCATCCCAGCCGCATGTGGCTGAGTGTTCCATGCGGGCCAACTGCGGTCCGGACGAACCGCGGTCGGCCCGGACGAACGGCGGATGGGACGGTCCTCGTTGAGCATGGGCCACCACACAGGTTCAGCTCCGGAGAACGTCCGAACGTCCAAACTTCCGGTGTTTGTCAGACGTCAGATGTATGTTTTCAACTCAGTCAGGCGGACGTGGAATCATGGAAGTGGGCGCCAAGAAAACATCCCCCATTGGATGAGCAGAATGAACATTCTCCGATCACATGCGCACGTCGTGCACTGTACGACGTCCGGTCGTTCTTCTCAACAAGTTGGCAAAAGCCGGGTGAAGACCATACAAAACACTCAGGGAGTGTTGCTCTCTCGCGCGATCCGCCGATCCCGTACACCAACGATCCCTGGCGTAGCGACCCCAAAGCAGTGGTTGTCGCGACCCTCGAAACCGCAGTGGTTGTCGCGACCCTGTCCCCTCCGTTTTGGAAGACACACCTCATCAGACCGGTGCTTCCTGCGGTTCAGAAGGGGCACCACCTCTTGTTGGCACCGAGATCCGGGCGCTTCTTCTTCGTCCCGGAAAGCAGAGGACGTTGACGTCTTCGCCCCCGTCCAGGTGAGTTGGTCGCGGCTTCAGACCGACACGGAGTTTTCCAAGTTTGAACAGCACGGCGGCGTGTGGCTGGAACGACATGAGCACGTTCATGCCATGTTCTCTCTTTGTGCATGTTCATTTCGCCTGCTTGCGGAGATAGAGGTTTCCCAAGCTCGGATGTTAAGAGCAAGGTCGTTCAAGAACCCGCCCCCTCGGAAATCAGAGAAAGGTGTCACACTTGCGGTCGTCTTGTCCTTCTGGGAGGATGGGTGCATGTGAAATGTCGGAACGTGATCCAAGCCGGTGGGGAATTCACTAGGTCACCCGCCCGGCGCGTCTCCCTCTTTAAGTCAAACTAGTGTAGAGTGTAGCTCTCACAGGACGTAGGTCACCCTGCATCTTCTTCGGTTGGTTGCAGGTCCGCAGGTTGTCTTTTAAACATCCATTCACATGGGTTGGTTCAATCAATCGAGGATGGGTAACTTTAGAGCCTGAAAGGGTTTACTGCTGAAAAGAATCATCAGAGGGGGTTTCTCTCCAGCGGCTTCAGTTTACTCAAAGGACCGAGCGCATAGGGACCGAGCGCAGCAAACGGTGTAAACCAGATGTTTGGGTACAGCCGTTCATGGTGGAGCCTCACCTCACCTGACATCATTGGGGTGTTTATCAAGAAACATATGTTGATTCACATGAGGAATTCGGCACAGGTCAGACCTGGCACCTTTTGCAGGAAGTACACTTCTATTTAAGAAGTTCAATGAAACATCAACATCATCATATTCATTCACTATATAAAAGCATCAGGAAGTAAGTACACTTCTATGTATGTTCAATGAAACATCAAGTCATCAAACCTATTCATTCACTCTAGCCAATCTGACCGTTCCGTCCATTCCACCCGCTGCTCCAGTTTTCCCGCGTTTGGTCCGAGTGGGCCGAGCTCCCGCCAAAGGGTGGGAAGGAGGTTCACATCGGCAAGCGCTGGTTCCGGTGAGGAGGGCGAGGAAAGGGGGTGCTGGTGGAGACGACCTAGTTGCACCACCTGCAACATGCCTGGTTTAGAAGTGTATTTGGAAGGTTGGAGCTTCAGAGTCGAGGGATGATAGCAGGACAGAAATAAGATTCTGCACTCGTCTTCACTTTAGGCGGAACGTGATTTAGACCTGGCCCCCCCTCTTAAAGTTCGCCCTCCTCCACGAGTGTTTATTCGCCTTGCCGATGGGCCAATTTTCCCACCACACGGCGCATCGCCCGACTTCCCATCCCATCGCGCTTGACGTGCCGTTCGACGGTCGGTCGGACGTCCGCCACCCATCGGCCGGGCCAAACTGGGCGGCCGCGTTCAAAGAATGCGGCGGGCACAGGACGCGAGTCAGGCTCGTGAGCGGGCCCGCCCAAGACTGCGTGCTGAATGCTTATTTTGACCCTCTTAGCTGGCAAAAAGGTTGAGGGATGGCGACAGCTGACGCCCTAGAAGTCCAAGACTGATAAGACTGTTAAAAAAGGGTCTTTAGGTGACCCGAAAAAGAAGGTTCCTTTAGCTCGGTGGCGCCAAAAATCGTCTTTGGACTTCCAGGGGACATGGGCGAAGCAGACGAGACACTGGCGACGTCTTCGATCCAGAAAGAAAGGAGCATCCTGTTAATCCACCGGTTTAACCAGAGAGGACATTAGGGTGGCACCGATTTGGCCGAAGGACTTGAACAATCCGAGGTTTGGAATCGCTTGCGTGTGGGCTTTGACCGACTTGTCGAATGGCCCTCGCGTTTGCCCTCAGTGTTCCTCCTTCCCTGCAGCTTCGTCCGGCCGGCTCTGCGGCTCCGCCGAGCTTGGCGGCGCTAACATCGGCCTCGCCCACCGATGTTCAGGAGCCGCCGGGGTTCGGGCCGTGGTCTGGGTGGGTCGAATGCGGCGGTTGAGAACCCCGTCCATGTCATTTGAGGTGGCAAGAGGGTCTGAAGACGGCCCCTCTTTGGGGACGAAGTTTCAAGAGGGGACCGCTGAAACACAGACCCCGCGCCGGCGCGGGCGCGGCCCGCGGGCGCGGGCGCCTCGACTTGGGATCTCACCTCGCGCGCGCGCGTGTTGCCCAAAACCACGCGCCCGCGCTGGTCCTCCAGGCAGGAGCCCGTGTCCCCCGTGGTAGGCTGGGATGGAGGGACCGAGGGGAGGGGTGCTGGGGACGTTGGACGCGAAGGTGGGCTCGATAGACGTGTCCAAAGCAGACGCCCCAATTCCATCAAAGGACCTTCTGAGGTGGAATTGAGAAACTGGAGAAAAGCACTTGGAGTTTCCGAATTAGGGGGACATTCCCAGGTGCTGCGGATTTTCAAACTCCTCCAGTCACATCCACTGAGTCCGACTTGAGAACTTTTGGGGTTCTTTAAACCTCCAGTCCCCAGCTTCCGGGCGTCTTCAGAGGTCTTTTTACTGGGATCAAGTTTGAAGATAGGTTTTTGTACGTCTGGTACACTGAAAAGCTGGTCAGAGGTTTCCAAACGAGTAACGAGAACGGCTGGACCACTCAGCCCGCACCAGTGGCTCTCAGAGAGAGGGTAAGACAATTATCTAGAATCATTGTCTTGTGGACCTTTTGATACATTGTTAGTTTAGTTATGTCTTACTTGCATTTTGCAAGAATTGTTGGATCTATTCTTGGATCCATTTGACATGGTACATTTTCAAGAGGGTCCAAAAATAGAGTGATTATAGATAGTTCTTTTTTCATCAACTTCATGTTGCGTTCATTTGTAAGTCTGTCAAGGGGGTCCACAAATGGAGTGCATATGCACAATAAAGTATAAAATGTGTATGACCGAGACACGACTTAGAGATGAACGCAACATGAAGTGGATGAAAAAGACCTATCTATAATCACGCTGTTTTTGGACCTTAAGAATTGTTTAGTCATGTTTTGCCTGCCACTTGCAAGCATCGTTGGATATATCTTTGGACCCCATTGAAGCTGTACATGTTTCGGCAACTCGAAGAAGTCCAGAGGACAGCCAGCTACAGAGCGCATCGCAAGCCAGCAGCACAGGGCCAGCGCGTGGCATGTTCGCATGTCGTGACTGGGAGCCCCGGTAGTGGGGGATGGATCACGGGACCCCTTTCAGCAGAGGCTTTGACGAGGACGACGAGGACGAGGCGACGACGACCACTCCTACTCCTACT